GCATAATGATATCTGTAGAAGCTGCAGGGATGAGGAGGAGTTAGAATCTGTCCAGCACTTCCTTTGCGAGTGTCCAGCACTTCGAGGAAAACGCCTCAAGTATCTTGGGGACCACTTCTTCGAGAATCTGGTTATCTTGAGGAAAGCTCCTCTGGAAGGACTGTTAGGATTCGCCAGAAAATCAAAATGGTTCGAAGACATGTAGGGATAGGCTTCGGGTAACCCCCTTGGGCATCACAATGGGCCTCTGCGGCCTCCGAGTGAACTCTTTTTCAGAGCTCCCCGTTTAACCCAACCTAACCTTCACGAAGTTTAGAGAGTGACTTAGCGACTAGCTAACAGGCTGCGAACAACTTGCAAAGGTCACGCCACAATCCTCGGGAGAGTGGGGGTGGAATACAGCCGCTGTGTCCATCAGGTCACGGAAATTGACTTCAATCGAAACTTCGATATCCATTTTCCTGACAGAAGTGACTGGGAATTTAATATTGCTCTCAGCGATGACGAAATACCCATCTTCACGGACGGCTCCAAAATGGATATCGGAACAGGGTCTGGGGTCTTGTCTCAGAAGCTATCTCTGAGGGAGTCGTATATACTCCCAGACCACTGCAGTATTTTTCAGGATGAGATATATGCAATCCATATGGCGCCAAGGTTGGTGGGCATGATTGACTTAGCTCCATCTAAACTTGCCTTCGTTGTTGACAGTCAGGTGGCTATCAAAGCCTTAGGGTCGGCAACGACTAACTCGTTATGCGTTAAAGAATGCCGAAGATCCCTACAAACTCTACAGCAACACATAATCAATCTTTACTGGGTACCGGGACATTGTGGTGTCCCAGGAAATGAGGAAGCGGACGAATATGCTAGGAAGGAATCTGAGATGGGGCTCGGGGAAGCGACCCAAATCGTGAAACCTTCTTGCGATTTCTGTCTTCAGAAGTCGACAGACTGACTAGAGCAGCTACCAACAGTAGGTGGGTAAACCTTCACACCTGCAGGGTATCGCGATCACTCTGGCCACGGCTCGATGAACGAAGAACAAGGAGTCTATTAAGGCTTTCAAAGTCAAATGTCAGGCTTCTCACAGGAATACTAACGGGACACTGGACCATTGGCCACATGGCCGCCAGGTTCGGAGCCCCGCATAATGATTTCTGTAGAAGCTGCAGGGATGAGGAGGAGTTAGAATCCGTCCAGCACTTCCTTTGCGAGTGTCCAGCACTTAGAGGAAAACGCCTCAAGTTTCTTGGGGACCATTTCTTCGAGAATCTGGATATCTTGGGGAAAGCTCCTCTGGAAGGACTGCTAGGATTCGCCAGAAAATCAAAATGATTCGAAGACATGCAGGGATAGGCTTGGGGTAACCCCCATGGGCATCACGATGGGCCTTTGCGGCCTCCGAGTGAACTCTTCTTTTCAGAGCTGCCCGTTTAACCTAACCAAACCTAACCCTCGGTATGTTTAAAATAGCCTACAAGCTTTTTTGAAGCGGTTATCCATTCATATTCTTCCACAAGAACATCATGTTTTATGGAAAAAAAGTGCAAAAGCCGTCAGCAAAAAAAAATTATTAAAAATCAATGCGATTTTATAGCCGCTCAAACTTGCACTCACTTTACTAGAATTTTATTGTTAAGAAGCTCGAAATTTTGATAAAAAATGTTGGAATTTTCAAAGATCTGTATAAAGTTAGAAAGTGATTTATATAGTTTTTGTTAAAGCATGAACCATATTTTTATAAAAAATATCAAACAAATTATAGCTGAAAAACATTGTAAATATTAAAAACTGGACACCATTCATCCATTTTTGACCGCCGCTGTACATACATATGTGAAAATTACGTGATTGACTCACGCATACTCACGGACACAAAAATGCAGTCACGCACGTGATTTCTCACTGAAAGACACTCATGCTCACGCGTGAAAAAGCCAGACACGACGTCTCACGTAGAAAATCACGTATTTTGCCCATCTCTAATACATACGTTAAATATTTCGAGCTCAACATCGCCTGATAGCAATACCGACATTCTGGGACGGTATTCCTGCGGTCGATGTCTGCTTCAATAAGACGATACTGCACAGTTTGGTGCGTTATGAACGCTATGCCACCACATGCACATTGTATCCGGTGCAATTCAACAGAGTTGAACTGCTGTGCAACTTCGTCTCTTGGATCGCAGCCATTAATATTCCATGCCGGCGCATGAAGACGGTTATCTCCTGACCTTGCTCTTCAAGTCCGTTACAGTTGAATTGTAGCATGTGTGCCTTGGCAGACCAATTGTAATGCGGGGTGTTCGTGAGTTGTGTTGCCTGCCGCCCCCTGCTGTATGTGTTGCAGACGGGGGTGCTGCCAATCACGCGTGTCGCGGAGTCCGGAGCACTCCATAAAGTGGCACCAGCCAAGGCAGGAGCTGCACTTGACTGATGTCACGTTACGGTATATTCAGGACTGACAAACCGAGCTGATTGTCGGAGGGACTAGGAGTTGCCGGCGCCAGCCATATTGCAATATTCACTCTATCTTACCAATTTACTTAAACTGCAATTACTAATTCTTTTTTTCTCATATATTTTAAGTTAGACCTTTAGAAATGAAAACTGCATTCGATTCGCGTACAAACATACAGTCAAACCCCCATATTAATTTTCCTTTAATATCTATAATGCATAAACATCCGTCTCTTAGAATTTTATTATATGTATATATTATACGTACCTTGGTTACTAATGTGTAAATAAAGCCAATCAATGCGATTAAACCCAAACATTCAATGAATTTGTATGAATCTTGCTCAAATTTATAATCAACTGGTGGTGGGTACAATATTGATCGTATAAGTCCACCTTTGGCAGTAATGTTTCCAGTATTAATTACAATCGCTAAAACCTTTTCAGAACCAATATATCGCGTCTGTATAATCTTTGTGCCACAAAAAAGTGTATGGCGCGCATGTTCCTTTTTATCAAATATTAAATCGCGTTTCATTGGCAAGGGAGTTTTTGTTACGGGAACGCTTTCACCTAAAGTAATAGTTATAATGCTTAACATCTTGAAATAAAAAACGAACTTTACATACCTGTAAGCATTGATTCATCCAGAATGCAGTTTCCAGATAAGAGTACAGCATCGCACTGCATCGTACAGCCGTTTGTAGGGATTTCAATAATGTCGCCAGGAACCAGACATTGAGTAGATGTTTCGCAAACTTGACCAGTTTCCGTTACAACCAAAGCAGAGCCGGTATTCAACACAGTTTCACGCAATGAATCCTGATTCTAAAGAAAGTGGAAAAATTTGAGCTACATACTACGAAATGCTTAGCATTTCATTTTTTCGTAATGAGAGTTTTTTGGTGTAGATGAAATGAACAATCGAAAAAGGATGGCACGCTGCATTTCTTACACATGTTCACAGTGAAAAACCTTAAGTTGTAAAAATATACACAGTTGTGGTCAGCTGATTAAGTGACCTTTTGACCAGTTTTGGCTATTTTTCTTTTTTGATTTGTTCTTAATATTTTTTTTAAGTCTAGCACATAACACAACCAGTACCACATAAATCCACATTTGAAACTTCGTACAAAAATTATGAAAAATTTAGCAAACTTGAATTACAACCAAAAATTTAAAATTTTTTATTCAGAATTTTTTTAAAATTGCACAGCAACCAACTGAAACTTAATGGGCTATAAAACTACTCACCTACAAATTTAAAATTTTTGGCTGTAATTGTTAGTTTGTCGAATTTTCGTAATTTTCGTACCGAGTTTGAAATGTGGATTTATGTGGCGCTGCTATGGAATGTATTACGACTTTTATAAAAAAAAAATATAAACCTTAAATAAACAAAAGAAAACTAGTCGAAACTGGTCAAACAGTCACTTAACTTAACCAGCAATTTACAAACCTTTTTAGTTTGAATAATTGACATCCCTATCCCAAACATAGACATGAGCAGTATTACACAGGCATAGTAATAATAATCATAGGTGAACCATAATAATACGGAAAATATTTGAAAAACATAGAAAGGATTCAACATTTCCAATACAAGTAGAGTTTTTAGGTCTTTATAAGGAATAGTTATTTCGTTTGGTCCATAGGCTAAGCGGCGAGATATTTGTTCCAGAGCTGGTAAGCCCTTCTGCTGATGAAAATATGCACTCGAAACGTTTTCATCAAGTCCCTTTATTTTATTAAATGATTGAGTTTGATTGTCCCAGGCGTAACGCAATTGCTTACAATTGAAAACTCGTACACTATTGCTATCTGCAAAGTAATAAAACGGAAAATATAATTTATAGTATACTACATTTGTGGAGCACATAATACAAAATTAAGCACAGATAGTTTTTATCATGATACAAAAAAGAAGGTAGTTTCATTTAATGACATTTGTTGTTGTTGTTAACCATTTGACTTTTAATAAAATTATGACATTTCATTAAATTCATGCTACCTGATCACGAGCAGTAAATTTTTTTTTTTGAGGTAGTTTCATTTAATGGCATTCGTTGTTGTTGTTAACCATTTGACTTTTAATAAAATTATGACATTCCATTACATTCATGCTACCTGATCACGAGCAGTAATATTTTTTTTTTTAAGCAGAAGATTTCATCAGTCTACTCAAAGATGTCGAATATGATGAATCTGAAAATTAATGCATAATCTCCAAAATGGGGTCGACGAAAGTAGACTTCAGAACGGATGAATCAAAATTATACGTATGCTAATTGCTTATAGGAGGGGCGCTATGCGCAAGCCGAATTCAAGTTTTTTGCATACATTGGAAATTTTAAATTCGAAATTTGTTGAAGCTAATGGTGATACGCTAACCACAAAGCCTAATTTTTTGCAAAATCTGAGAGAATTTAAAAAGTAAATTTTCACGAATTTCATCACAAATCACGAATTTCATGTGAACAAATATTCCCAAAAATTATAAAGCAAAGCAAAAATAATTTTTCCCAATTTGTTTTTGTTTTGCATGTTAATGAGAACAATTTATTCACATGGAATTGGCGATTATTTGATTTGATTTGAAGATTTATTTGGAAAGAGCATTCTTTAGAATTTGATTTTTAAATCGCAAGATTGCATTCAAAATAAGAAAATGAAAAAATAACAACATAATGCTCTCGTGATTTTTATTATAAAATAAAAATAACAATTTCAATGAAGTCTCCTTTGAAATTACACATTTTATATATTTTTAATAAAAAAAGGTGCGAACCACGTAAGTAAAAAAATTACCAAGCACTGATAATGATATTTGATTTGAAATATTATTAAATTGGTATAAATGTGGGAAAGAAAATACTCGGATTTATTGTTTTTATATTATCAAAGTGGCAAGGCCGTTGAAGATACTCACAATTTATGAAACTTCAAAAAATTGTATTATCCGTCAAAAGTTGTTTATTGAAACTACCTTCTTTTTTGTATCATGGTTTTTAGTGTTTTCAAACTAATATTTGTTATACTTTATATGTAAGTCAAGTTAAAAGGGTTGTCATTGTTCGGTATTTTGGGTATAATACCAGTTTTAAACAGCGGGTTTTCCCTACTCCATAAAAAAAATGTTGTACGTAGCAGGAAACTCCAACCCAAGATAACTGGGAGAATGTATAAGCAGATTGGTCGGAGAATGAATAATAGAATTAATGCACACAAGCGGGAATAACATTAGGTATGTCGACAGGGAACTAATGGATGAGCATGATGTTATGGTCTCTTACTGAGAGCATTTGGGGCTTGCTATGCAAATGTTGTTCAGGCGCATCAGAAGCGATCCTGTCGTTGTCCGGAGCGCGGCGTTTTGGCAAGTCTGTAGTCCTGGCGAACAACTGGTGCAGCATAATTCAGAACCGGCCGGCCAATTGCCTGGTATGTTCCCACCAACGTCTCGTCGTTTTTGTTGTTGTAGCGGCTACTAAACCCCGCTCTGGTCGACCCATCCATTAAGGTTCCCTAGATAGTCGGGTCTACATAACCGGAACGACCCAGATTTATGTATGTGCATATATCTGACCGAGGACTGTTACTCCAGCATCACTCCCCAAGAACTCTTTGGGGAATTTGACTGCAGCTACAACAACATCTGTTTCATCTAAGGGAAGGCCCAGGAAGTGCACGACTTCTGCAGGGTCTGTTCATAGGGGCAGGGGCGTTTGTTAGTTGGGAGTTTGGGGGTATGCGCAGAGGTGCCGTGAGTCATATGGCGACTCTCCGCATACCATACATTGGTTTGGTCGTTTATTCTGCAAAGGTATGAGGTCTGTATGCAGTTGCGTTACCGTTTACTTTCGAGCAAAGGTCATAAATTCCATTCCCAGACGCCATTATCGAGCAATCGTCAGCATAAGAGACAATTCTGACTACCTCTGGTGGTTGAGCGAGCTTTGAAATATAATTAAATAATAGTGGTGTATCCTACACCACCCTTGGAACCCCCTGTTTAATTTTTCTTGGTTTACTGTTTCTGTCTCTGAAGATTACTGACGAATGTCGACCCCTCAGATAATCCGCCGACCACCGTTTTAGTCCCTGTGGGAGACGTCTCGTTGTTTTTGACCCAGGTGCTTCCGACAAGCGACATGAGCCCATAGTCTTGCAGATTAAACATTGAAAAAAAGTTTGAAAGGCCGCCAGTAAAGAGGTTACCAGGGCAGGCAGGAGGAAGCAGGTAGGCGGCCGCTGTGGCTGAGTAGTTAGAGGTGCGTACTACCACTCCGTGGGACCCTGATTCGATCTCTGATCAGGGCGGTAAATTAATTAATAAAAAAATTTTCTAACTGTGGTCGCCCCTCGACAGGCAATGGCAAGCCTACTGGTGTATTTCTACCATGAAAAAGTTTCTCATAGAATCCATTTGCAGTTCGGAGCCGGCGTAAAGCTGTAGGTATAACAACATCAAGACGCACACCACAAATTGGAAGTGAAGGTCGATCAAACAGTTAGCAAAAGTGTAAGCACCGGGTCCAGGTCTTCGTAGATCCACGTAACGTTAAGGAACGTCGTGGGGTCGTTGGTTGTATACTACTTAGGTCATATGCTTCTGGGTGCGGTGAACCTGGGAAGAAAAGACTAGCCCTAGTAAGGTTTTCATAGTGGGAAATGTGCTGTTTTTTCCTGTTGCCCGTGACACGACCTGCGATCGACACAGTAAACAACTTCCAGGTTAGACAAATGCATGATTCTTACTTTACATAGGACCGGTGGTTTAATATATAGTTTAATGTTTACATGGTTAAAATTTTACGTACATTTGAATTGTGCTGAGGAGAAATGTAAACTTATATGCAAACTGTTTTCATTTATTTCCACATTATCTCGCTGTGTTTGCATTGAGAGCGTATTCTTGTTCCTAGCACTTCCATCTTTGGCCGTTAGCGATGGAAGCAAATGTTCCCGCTGCTGCATAGTTTCTCTGGAAAAGGTTAAAAATACTATCATGAACATACAAACCTGTCTTCAGAAACTTACTTTAGTACGGAGGCATTTAATTCCTGTATAGTCTTCACATAATATATTTTATGTTTGTTTTGATAATTCTCTTGTATTAAAACTTTCTCAGCTATATCTAATGGGCACTTGACATGCGTAGAAATTAAGTACCAATGCCGCCACCAGTGCATTATTAGCCGCAATAGGCCACCGGTAAGGCATATACAAATCCAACATAGCAGCATACGCAGGCGCGATCGCTTATAACCCGTTATTTGCATTTCATCGTCTTCGCTTGAATTTAGTAAACCAACGCATAGTTTGGGATCTAGAAGAAAGTAAAGACAAACATTTTATTAGATTATTTATTAAGAAAACAAGGGACTGAAAACAGTTCAATGTGATATTGAATTATACCTGCAGCAACACGATCTATTTTATTACACATTGCAAAAAATTATTTCGTGGTTTATCAGTTCAGTTATTAGAAGTATTAAGAAGTAGAAATACTAACTGTACTTTGTCGAACACTGCGGCCCAAATATTTTAACAGCAGTAACGGGATCTCAGATGATAAAAAAGAGAAAAAATATTGATCGCTTAAAAAAATTTTAAATGTATGTCAAATGAAACGACGGTACTTCGTACGCTAAATTGGAAAGTCCAACATTCAAGCCCGGGCTGATTTATCTCAACTGGTCAATAACCGTCAATCAATCCTATCTTGAACGATGTGCGAAAGACTATCTTAACTCGATGAACTATTCTAACTTTGTAAATACATACTAACTCAGCGCTGTCAAAAAAACTACAGTTGTGTTCGTTTGAAAAAGCCAGCAAGAATTAGCCGGTAACAAAATTTAGAGAATAAAGTATCTTACTCTCTCAAAGAGAGAAACTTACAAAGTGTAGCGCGAACAGGATTGGCAGAAATTTGCAAGCTTCACTGCCAGCTGGCGTGCACGAAACATAATAATTTTTTTATTATTATTTCAAGTGGAAAATAAAATAGGACATATACGTATATTTCTTCTTATTCTGACGTTCTTCAACATAAGCTTGAAATTCTTTGTTGTAGTTACTGGAGGATTTCCCATATCAACAGTGGAGTCGACTGCGTTCCGATTACGAATACAGCTTTTTCATGGGAGTACCTTCCAAATCATTGAAGTTAATTAAATTAATTGAGTAAACAAATAATTACATACTTCTTTCATTAGTAAATCGCACCAAGGTTGTACATTTTTCAATTTAACGAACTTGATTCAAATTATTATTGACAAAAATGCAACCGTATGCCGATAGCGAACAGAACTTAACCTAACTCAGGCGCGCCCTTTTGTGTCTGATTTAGGATAGTTTGTTACTACAAAGTTAGGATAGTTCGTCGGGTTAAGAAAGAGCGTATTTCAAAACGACCAAATACAAAGAAGCAATCCCTTTTATTTCTAAACGTCAGTAGATTGTAATGCTAAACAACCACGGTTAGATGCTAGTTTTCTACTATGTTGCGCAAGTTAGGCTTTTTCTTCTAGTACGGTTTAGAAATAAAAGACTGATACTTTGTATTTTGCCGTTTTGGAATGCACCCATAGATAATTGATGGCTGTCGGCTAGTTAAAATCGATGTGTGTCGTTGCAGATGTCTTTTTTAAATGTACCACTTTATAATTTGAGCAACTTGAATACAAACATGCAGTTTCTCGCCTCAAGATAGTCGAAGATATCGCAACCCAGAGGTTTATTTCTCCATGGAGTGATGTGATCGTACTTTCTAATACCATAGACGTAGCGTGTGACGTTACTAAATGTTACCTCGATTTTTTGTGCATACGCTGAGTCAAGTTTACTGTAAACTAGTCCGGAATATGTTATCTGGGGTACGATAAGCTGAAAGGCTAGTTTACGTCTCGTTTCCAATGGGGTAAATGGTGCAGACATTTTCAGGCTACGTAAGGCAGCAAAAACGCCGCTTACCACTTTATTAATGTGGTCGGTTAATCTGGAATTAACAACAAAGCCCAGATTATTAATTTTATCAGTTAACAACAGAGCAGTGGTACCAATCCAAAGCTTCGGAATATCCTCGACATGCACATCATTACTACTTATCGGTAAAACATACGATTTAGTCATTAAAAAGTAAGCAGTTGTCACGTGCCCATACAGAAATGGCGGACAGATCAAAATTAATTTTGAAGCACATGTCTTCAATTAGACCAATACGACTCGACAAGTATAGTTGGACATCGTCGGCGTACGCATGAACATTCATATACAGGCATACAGAGAACACATCGTTAACGAAAATACTAAACAAGAGTGGACCTAGCTAACTAGCTTTAATTATTTGTTTATAAAAATATAGCATATTCTTTAACAAAAACCCTATAAATCCAAGATTGAATCTTTGTGCAACATTTGAAAAATATCGGCCTTTTTAATAAGATTTTTTAGTAATATTTTGAGTAAAGTAACTAGGACTTACTGTTGAGTTTTGGATTTTTTTTGTTGACGATGTCAGTTATTTTCTTTCATACGAAGCATTTTCGACGGCTTTTTGTGTGCAGAAGCGGGCGACATCTTTAACAAACAAATTCCCAAAAATCAATGGTAATTCCGATAGGCTTTAAACTTGCACTTTGTTATAGTAAAATTGAATGGGCTACAAAAATGCTACTCAAATATAGAAATTTTTACGAGAGATTGTTGATTTCTTTTGAAGCTTTGCACAAAGATTGTAACTTAGATTTATATGGTTTTTGTTGTTCACTACCGTTCTTAACGGCTAAAATAAATTAATAAGTAACGGTTTAATCAGAATTACCTCGAAATATAGCAGAATGTTCACTTCTGCTAAAATGCGCACATTAGCCATAAATTGTCTAACGACCAGGGAACGGATTTTATGGAAATTGCCTTTTTTTCTGCTAAGAGATAGAGTATTTTCGATTAAGAATACCACGATTTAGCTTTCCCTGAATCCATATATACACATTTGATGCAGCGTTGCCGATTTGCTTAAATTTAAGCAAAATTGCTTAAGTTTTTCCTGCCTGTTAAGATATTAAACTTTTCTTCGTTTTGTTAAATATTTTTATTAAAAAAGTCAAAAATAATAACTTTCCTCAAAAATTCATAGTCAGAATAGTTAGTATTTCAATAAATTTTTCAAATTTATTTTAGTAAGACTGTCATCCAGATCCCACATGAAGTTCCAGCAAATGTTGCTCTACGCAATTCCTGATCTGCGGTCGTCGCATTTTCAAACCTCCGAGGGTACTTCTGCCATGAAATCGCTTCTCATAAAAACCATTTGCCATTCGGAGGCACCTAGAACTTTAGGTCCCTTCATTTGCGTGACAAGATCAACACGTATATTTTGGATAACATGATGCCTAACTCGTTTTTTGCATGTATTCAAAAAACTAGCGAAGGGGCAGATAACTATTAAGTATAGGAGTATGTGTTGAAAGCCTGAAAGAATGTGTAATAGTTTTCAAATTTAGCAACTGTTAGGTCCGATTTCAGACGGCCTACTTAAGTAGATATTGTTGATTAACTTCCACTATTCCTTTTCAGATCATACATTTAGTCTGCACTTAAATGGCCAATTTTGCTATTTAAATATGAGATATTTAACCCAGTGTTTATACCAAACAACCACGATTGATTGGTAGGTTGTTTAATCAATCCCACCAAATCCCACCCAAAACAATCAGCTGTTCAGCAGAAAATGTAAACAAACATGCAAATGCAACAACAATTTCAAGGAATAAGTAGCAGTGCTGCCAACTGTTGAGCATATTTAAACGAAGTTGATCTGAAACCCAACGAAAGCTAAATGGCATTTAAACAACAATCCACAATTAAACTTAAGTGCCGTTTAAATATTCATTTGAAATTGGCCCTTAGACTATAACATCCTTACTTTTGACGACAAAACTCAGCCTTAGAGAGCCTTTACTTACTGACCTGCTTACTTTTTATTTCTATAACCAATTTACCAAGCTCAGGAAGAAACATACAGTAACTCCAGGCATTTTTCGTTTTAATAAGACCAGATAAATAAGTTGCTTAATTTTAACGGGATTTGTTAAACTTTGTCAAAGTTTTTGTTAAACTTTATTTTTCGGGCGCGGCAACACTGATTTGATGTTGCTTTTTTGCCTTTTTTAAGATATTTGCATTTTCTACCTTAAAAGCCAGTATGCAGCTCTCAAAAACTCCATATAAAATGACGTACAAGAAATGGCTAAAAGTGAAAGTACATACCATCGAATGCGTCGCCGTCACCGTCACCATCACCGTCAACGATGCTTATGCGTCAAGTTACACACTATCCGTTTGACGTTGCGTCCGAAAAATCATAAACGCAGCAAAGTGCGTAGAAAAGCGCTTGCATTGCCACGTTAGTTACCGATATGGCTACGGATCGGGCTAAATACCGCTATTGGATAATGTTTTGCTCGATCTCCGAGAAAGATCACCGAAAGAGTCATTAAACATTTTTGAAAAAAATTCGAAAAAACGATAGGAATTTTGCTTAGAAAAATACGCTATTAATTTGGAAGGAGAGTATAAAGTAAGGTTAGAACAATGGAAAAATCAGCTAAGAGAAAAGCCATTCCCAAAATAAGCAGCAGAAAAAATTACTGGTCTCTACTCGGTAAATCAAGTCCTGTAATTTAACGCAATTTGACAAGTTGATCTCAATCGCATAGTTTCCTAAAACACCCGCTTCTTTTGAATTTTTTTATTACTTTTGATTACACGATATTGGCGTCCTGTAATGTCATTGATGGCCTGTGTTCGAAAATAAACGCCTTCTCTCTCAACTATGTAGCTTGCTTCTTTACCGCAAAGTAATACCAGACCGACATTGAAAACATGTTTTCGTTGCTAAAACTAGTTTTCGACCTAAAACTTGTATTTCGTTCATGTAAAATCTGTCAAACGAAAACCAGTTTTCGCTGAAAACTACTTGAAAACTCACGTTCCACTCATTCCAATCAGTTTCTTCACTAGTTTCTTTCGATTATTTGTCGAAGTGGAATTCATATTTTATCATATTTAATACGCCATTTCGGATTTATTGTTAATTGGCTGGCCAAAGTAAAATAAGAATGAAAGTAAAAGGTTGTAAATGAAAGGAAAATGAAGAAAAAGTATTTTGGTTTTGTTTTTGTGTAGCAAAACTGTAATCAAAGGATGTAAGAAATGTCAACGAAAGCACTAACAGCCGGTGTGAACCACCAGGGGAAGAGCATCGGATACCTCGGGAGACCCACCGAAATTTGGCGCAGTTACAATCTGAAGCAGAGTAAA